TTTGGCCAAAAAGCATGGACTATAGCCCATGGTTTTGACCAATTTTGGTCCATTTTCACACCTTTTGAAAAATTATGCATTATTTATGAACGATTCAAAATAGGTCATTTTGAGCCATTTTTGGCCAAAAAGCATGGACTATAGCCCATGGTTTTGACCAATCTTGGTCCATTTTCACACCTTTTGAAAAATTATGCATTATTTATGAACGATGCCAAATAGGTCATTTTGAGCCATTTTTGGCCAAAAAGCATGGACTATAGCCCATGGTTTTGACTAATTTTGGACTATTTTCACACCTTTTGAAAAAATATGCATTATTTATGAAAGATGCAAAATAAGTCACCAATCTCATAAAGAAATAGAAAACGCACGCACGTGCTGTCATAAAGCACGTGAGGGTTGGCAGAACATGAGAGAAGTGTTAGGAGAAGCACAAYGCATAGCCGACACTACTCGAGTGTTCTGCCAATCCCCAAGTGCTTTATGACTGCACACAGCACAGCAAGCAAGTTTTTTATTTCTTTTATAAAATACAAATTACAATAATAGATAGGAATGATGCAACAGAAAGTGCACGCTCGTGCAATCAGAACGCGACATTCATAACAGTTATTTTATAATTGCCCAGAGAATGTTAAATAATTGCAGGAGATTTGCTTCAAGCATTGTACTTGATTCAACAGTGTTGGATAATATAAATAATCAATTTTTAGATAGTGAATTAAAAGCTAATTTTTCTTTTTAAAATTTTATTTAATATCTTTGTGAAGAACTTCAACAACTCCCCATGTGAACGCACCCCGTCCCCACCCTCATACCCACCCACAATCTCACATCCTGTGGAAACTTTTGTAATGGTAAAAATAGATTTTCTTCCACCCTAAAATCTGCATTTGTTAAAACGCATCTAGTGACATTAAAAGCATAACGCTTTCTTCTTGTTTATTATTTTTCAATAGCCTGTTTACAGGACTTTCATGACCAAGTGCATCATTTCAAGGATTTGTGCAGAAGACATGCTTGCTTGCGCAAAGCATAAAAGCATTCTTGAGAAATTTTGTCTGTGACATTTTCATAAAATGTTCTATTGTCAAGTCGCCTGTCACAGACAAATCTCCTCAAGAACGCTTTTATACTCCACATTATCAGACATCTCTTTGCAACGCTTGGTCAGAATATATATCAGAAATGGCCTAATCACACCACATGCCAATCCCTTGAGTATCATGTTTTTATTTACTGTGATACTTTGAAAGATATATGAACATGGATGAGGCCAAAACAAAGAATCTTACTTGCTATTCTCAAGGAGATGACAATACTTCCATCAAGTGAATTGGATTAATTAATAGTCATAGACTGTTTATACAGAGGGTCCAAGGGCAATCACTTCCTACAACATGATGGAACTTTAACTTTTTAAAATAAAACCTTGCCATGCAGTAAAATTACCCTAATTCTGCCTACAACATTATTGACTGCCCAATAACTCTTCTATCTTCCATATTGAAATATAATTGCCACCTTTTGCTATCTATATCCATCCTATACTTGGTACAGAGCTTGCAATAAAGAATGGCGTTGGGTGGAATACTGTTCAAGCACTTTAGATGGGCTGAAAACAATGAAAAGTTTTTTTTTAGAATTTAACTATGGCAAGTAAGTGTATGCTGGAAGTGGGGAAYAGTTTTGGTAAGAGAGTAGTAAGGTGTTGGTAAGATGGTTAGTAGGGTGCATACCATACCAGTGAAAAAGTTAACTAACAAAATTGTACAAACCAGAGCAAATTTTTATATTGACTGAACTTACTAATTTGTGCAACTTTGTGCAATTTATTAAAACGTTTTTTAATGGATATATGGTATGTACTCTAGAGGGTAAGAGGTTAGTGGTGGATTAGTTAGTGAATTAGTAAGGGTGTTGTAAGGTGTTTAGTAAGATGGTTAGTAGAGGTAATAGGTTAGTGGGAGAATAGTTAGTAAATTTTGTAAAGGTGTAGTGACTTGATGAGTGGTCAGTAAAATAGTAATAATGGAAAAGTATGTTGGTAATGGTGTGTTTGATTTACTTATATTGTTTTTAGCATCTTACCGTGACATAAATACAATAAAGTAAGAAGCAAGTGACTTGGTGAAGTAGTCTTGTTTTGCAGCATGTAGTAGGGCAGCAAGTGGTCCTGACAAGTCTTTCACCGGCTGTATTTTATCTTCACTCTTGATAAATAAGAAAAAATTCATTTTCATCACGACACAGGGAGTTGTTGCAAAGCCTCTCTAGCTATATGCACTCCACACTCACTACCATAAATCTTTTTTCCAGAGCTACAACACCAAATTTAACTCCAATAATTCAAGGATTTAAGGTTAAACCAGCTGAGAGCTGAACGCTGCATGCAAAGCATTTTAGAGCTTGAAATTGCTTTCATTCTTCCTTTCCATATTTCGGTTTCTTGTAAGCACGTATGTTATATCTTAGTCAAAGAAAACCAAAAAAATGCAAAAGCTGTGTTACAGTATCCTGGGCATGAGGGCATGGCAGCAACACTGCTTAACGTGCTGCGATTGCCACTGCTCAGCTGGAACATGACTGGTGAAGAGATAGGTATGAGTAACAAGGAAAAGTAAAAGGTCAACAATATAAAGATGCCCACAAACCTTAAGAAATCCTAGATAAACTAAAATAGAGTTTGCAAGGTTCCCTTCCTGGATACTGGTTGTTGATAATGCTGTTCCTAAAATAGCATCTGAAAAAATACAAACGAAAAATATTTGAAGAAAAATATTTTAGGAAAAGAGGACGGGATAGTAAAGGGATTGTTTCCATTACCTGTGCATGTGTTGATGGCATATGTGTCATTCATTAAACCAACAGACACCTAGATCAAGGTAGCATTATTATAAGAGTATTGTTAGTAAAATTCTTAATGATTCCTATGAAAAATTACAGCTCTTGCAGAGGGGGTGAAGGGACATTTGAGCRTAAAAGTGGGGTAGCTAAGCATCCCTGGATCCACACCTGACCTAAATAGAAAGAAATCAATTCCCCAGGGTAGAGGAACTGATTAGCTTTCTGCCATTAATATAACATGGTACTGGCACATGATCAAACAAACCTCTATGATGAAGTATGCCAAGAGATTTCATTACTAGTACATGATAATGTACATATTCTATACTTGGAAATGACATTACATAATATCTAACTCATCTCCTTTTAGTTAACTATGCAGTTTACCTTGACAAAATGATGAGCTACTTTATCTGCATCCTTAAAGTCATCCTACGATTATTTAAAAAAATTGAAAAATGTTGAGTTAAGGGTAAATAAATGCTTTATAGCAAAATGAAACTCACTTCCTTTGAGCTCTAAGGCACACACCCAGCACACACCCAACCCTTTGAGCCGCAACCATCAGAAGTTTGATGACTGAATTATAGGTTGTAAAAAAAAAGGAACATTTTTGATATATATGCCATAAGCATTTGACATCCAAGTCAGGGTAATCATGAGATACCAAAACTTACTTGACAATCTTAGCCACAATGAAACAGGTATTATCTGGATACACAGAGAAGTGGCCCTACACTTTTGTCCATTTTGCTCCTTGGGGTGTCAAAACTTAGCCCCCTCTCTCCACCCCCCTCAGGCAAGACACAATCACAAGCTTTTATCTTAGTAGCCAAATTGTTGAAACATTTAACAATTATTTGCCAAAGGCAAAGTGAATATCTGGGAATAATAACCTGAACGAAGCTGAGGTTATTATTCCCGATATTCACTGAGGCTGAAGCAAATAATTGTTTTAGTATAAATACACAGGTGATTCTTTCAAAAAAAGGAAAAAAAGAAGATAAAAAACAGCAACAAGCGGCTGGCCGCCCATTTTGGATTATCGCTGGAGGTAATTATCATGTGATAGTGTGAGTTTCTCGACCAATCAGCGCACAAGATTTTCAATAATCAACTGTGTATTTTTACTAATATAAATTATTTTTTACGATTTGCATAATAACCTGTAATGCATCTTTGAGGAGTTGGGCTCGTATTTTGGTGGGGAAGCAATTAAACATCTGAGAAGTTGGCTTCTTTATAAAATTCTGTACGTCTTCTGTGCTGCATTCCTGGATCAAAGACATTTGGTTGACAAGGAAAAATATTATATATGAATAAAAATGAAAAAAATGAAAAAAAGGAGAAAAAAAGAAAAAGAAAAAAAAAGGGGAAAAAATACAATGAAGTTGTTTCAGAAAAAAATCACATATCTACAGCTGGGTTATCACTTCTTAGAGAGTGCAAGATTTGGCTTCCATGTTGTCTGACTTAACAAGGATAAAAAGGTAACTCTGTCATTCCATTTAACCAGCACTTCAGTCAAGTACTACCAAGGTAAGAAAACTAGTTGAAATTTTTCTTCAAAAGAAGATTGAATGCATAGATGCACTATTCGCATTGAAAGCTAAAATCACTTTATTTAACACCACAGTTGCAAAGATCCAAACAGACAATTTAGGAAAATCAACAATATATACTTAATGAAATATTGTTACAGCATATGAAATAAAAAATGGGAAAAAACATCATAAAAAATAGAATGAATAGTAACTAATATCTATCAGATACACTAGTCAATAGAGGTATTACACCAGCACATGACGGCAGCCATGTTAGATGGTGGGAACAATACAATCATTTTACATAAGAAAGAATTCAATTCCCAATGCAAGAACAAAGGGATCCTATTTACTGCCATCTAACTACAGGCCGCCCAAGCTGTATTATGGTGTTGGCACATGGTGGTGCAAAACCTCTACAATCGTCTTTATAATCATGTTTAATTATAGCTATTTGCATGGTTGAATATCTAACACAACTTTAAATTTGTTAACATTTTGCATACTGTTTGATCATGTGATCAAAACAATTACTTAGACATCAGAAAATTCCTTACTCAATAAAACAATTTGTAATTAAGTTAATAATAAATTAATCAAGGATTAATTAATTAGAATAATTAATTACAAATGCTTCATCATACATCGAGATAAAACTGATAAAAAAGTAAAACTACAAGTGTCTGTAATGTTATAAATAATACTTTTTTGTACTTCTTCACTACCATAGTCATTCACATCACTGCCCTTATTTACATTATTTACTTCTTTTAAAAAAACTGATTGTTAATCCAGTACCTAGTTTATCCATTACAAATTATATTAAAAACATGAACAATTTATACTTCTTCAATATTTTTTTGTAAGACTTAAAACACTCTCAACTTCAAAGTAAAATTGCTGATTTTTGTTCATATTCCAGCCATGTTAACCAGCAATGCATTGCTATCTGATTTGTGTCATGTTTACATCCAAACTCAGTTGCATGAGGAATTGCTGCAGGATGGCACAGGGATGTGAGGGGGGGGGGGGTTAACATCACGTTTTATGCAAACCTGGAATTCACAAATCACACTCTATATTTTACTATTATTTTTTACATATCACCTTCATTTTCATCCCTTGTGTCACCCCTTTGCCACTCTGTTACTAAAAGTCTAARATATGGTTTCAATATTGTGTTGAAATCAAGCTACTGTACATTCAACAACAAAAATCATGGGGACAACTTAATGCACACTCAATCTTTTTAACAATATTCTCCATTGATGATCAATTCCTGAACCGATGTTGAGAATCATGTTCAGTATCAAGTCACAAAAAACCATTGATCTCCAAAAGATGAAGTAAATAAAACCCCAAAAATGACACTTGTTGTATGTTGTCCCCATAACTCTGCCGTAGATTGCGAGTGGATTGCATGAGTCCAAAGAATCGGCCTAGAATATCCCAGGCTGCATTCTGTACAATTCTTTGCCTATACAGTCAATTCAAAAAACGTTGTCGTCGACCGGCTCAAGCCTACGCGACTGGACCGAAAGGAATATGGGTAAAAATCACTGAAGCGGTTAAATATTCGTTCTGAATTAATTGTTCCCGCTAGTAATAAGATAATAATGGCCAGAAACAATCCATCAAATGCATGTCTTTGGGTTTAGGGAAAGAAAAACAAAGTAGTTATGATTTAGTTCACAGTTTCGAAAATATGAAGGCATTAAAAAAAAGTCTCCTTCAACACTTTTCGCTCGCCTACGAAGGTTCCTGCTGTAAACCAGGCATAACTAGTCAGATAAAATTATGGAGTCAACTCGGCTTCAATGATTGCTACCCAGAGTTCCTTTCGGTCCAGTCGCGTAGGCTTGAGCTGGTTGACGACAACATTTTTTGAATTGACTGTATATTTCCAAAAGAACTTAATCTTGTCATGATTTCTCAGAAGCCTACAAGAAATATATAAATTAATGGTTAGATTATTTTACTTTATTTAGATGGATTATTAGTTAGATGATTGGATTAACAGATCAAAAACAGTTTTCCATGTTTGATACTCTGATCAAAACACGCGGGATGTTGGGAGAACACGAGAGGAGCGCAGGAAACCACGACGCGTAGCGGAGTGGTTTCCAGCTTCTCGAGTGTTCTCCCAACATCCCAAGTGTTTTGATCAGAGTATCAAACACAGAAAACTGTTTTTGATTTGTTTTATAAAATAACAAACGTGCTATAGAACGAAAAAAAGCAAAGTCTAAGTAAATTCTCCCTACGTGCCGTCTTATTCAAACTGACCAATGAGCRCGCGCRATAGATTAAAAATGACGATAGCGTGTTTTGATACTCTCATCAAACATGGTTTTCGACCAATCATAGCGCGCGTAGTATCCCAATTATTTTATAATACTCTCTTAATTACTAATCCAAATTTCAGTATACTATGCTACGTCTTCTTTGAGTCATTTCATTTATTTAATACTACTACTTTAAACACTATACCTGTGTCAGTTTTATCGTCAATGGTTTGATTTTAATAAAGATTTTAAAAAAAACTCGTTAATGTGCAATATGCTTCAAGTTATTCTAGTTAAAATATTTACTTCTTCCAGCTATTGCTCAATATTAAACACACACACCTTAGTAATTTAGACTAAAACATATCCTGTGCCATGCAGTGTATTTAGTAAATTATAAATATATACAATACAGTAATTTTTTTTAAAACGTTTATTTTTTATAAAAAATTACAAAATTGTTTGTCTCATTTTTCGCATTGAATGAACTATGATTGTATATTAGTTACTATGTGCATAAGATGAATTCTGCAATTTCCCAGGGGAAAAATATTCTATTGTTGTGCTGCTGTCATAGGTGCCATTATGTAATGATGCAAAGCTTCTATTGGTTGCCCAGTCTCTTGATCCAGGAGCCTGGAGCTGGATGAAAATTGCTGGGTCGCATTGGTATTTCAGTTCATTGTGGGACTTTTTAGGGCATGTATTGATGCCATCTTGGAAATAATGTTTCCTAAGATAGTCTCACAATGCACTGAAAATAATGCCAACTCAAATCACTTTCTTCTTCAACCCAAAAAATCCAAATGAATACCTTTAATCTTTAGTTAATAATTTAATTACCTACCTTTTGTAGTTCCTGTTGTAATTCCTTATCATCGCCAAGTAAAGGGGACTGTGGTTTAATGCTGATTCCTTCTACTTTTAACGAAAGGTCCTTTTTCTCTTCTCCTTCACTTTCATTCTCTTCTTCACTTTCATTCTGAGCACATATCTCATCGATATCTTCATCCTCATCGTCATCTTCATCCCCTTCATCATCACTTAAACTTCCAAGTTTTGCTAACTGTCCTTGTGTGTCCAGTGCAGCTTTTAACTCCTCAATCCCTTCATCTCCTAAACAGTTACCTGGAGAGAAATACGTACTAAACATGGTTAGCAGTGGAATACTGGTTAAAGCAAAGACATTTTCTAATGTACTCATCTAAGTTAAGCTTTTTGGATTAATCTTGTCTTTAACAAAAAGAGCTCTTTAGCTTGGGCGTAATGATTTCCCATTTCAAACCACATGTCATTCCCTAGAGTATTATTTCTTTGTTTAATGGTTGTGCATGACAAGACACTTGGATACGATCCAATATGGATACGAATCAAACAAAGAAGCTCATTCTCAAGAAAATGACACACAGTCTGAAATGGGAAAACATTACCCCCAAGGTAAAGAGGTCTAGCGTCATGAGTGATGCCAAGTGCAAGAATCAAACCTGAGATCCCAGAAGTAAGGCAAGTTGCACACTGAAATTTGTTTTTTTTTTGCTGCCGCCAGTCAAAAATATGAAAGGTTATAACCGACTGATTAGGTTTGATTGACGGCATCGAAAAACTAAAATTCAGCGTGCAGCTYGGAGACACAAAGTTTGCATGTTTATGCAAATTGCAGTAACATGTATTCCAAGCCACTTACCATTCAAGTCCAGCTTTTCTAAAAATTCCTTATTCTCTACCGCTGCTACAACAGTCATTGCTCCTTCCTTGTTGATTTCATCAAATGATAAATTAAGTTCCTAGAAGAATGTTTACATGTTAAAATGCTTATAATCAGCCCAGAGGTTGTTTCATGTTCAATGTGTGCGATAGCCATGCTTTGATCAGCCCAGAGGTTGTTTCATGTTTAATGTGTGCGATAGCCATGCTCTGATCAGCCCAGAGGTTGTTTCATGTTTAATGTGTGCGATAGCCATGCTCTGATCAGCCCAGAGGTTGTTTCATGTTCAATGTGTGCGATAGCCATGCTCTGATCAGCCCAGAGGTTGTTTCATGTTTAATGTGTGCGATAGCCATGCTCTGATCAGCCCAGAGATTGCTTCAGGGTAATTGATACAATTTGAAGGTCGTATTCCAAATTCCATCACAAGTTTGGTATTTACCTTGAGATTATTGGCTCCTTTGGCCAGTTCCTCTGCTAAAATCTTGGCTCCTTGAGTTTTTACAAGACAATCGCCAAAATTGATAACCTCTATGTTTGGTAACTGCAGTATAACCTGCAAAGTGAAAATAAATGCAACATCAGATATTATATTATATAGATAGGGCTGTAAATAACAGCTATTATATTTGGTCAGACATGCTGACTGGACACGCATTGGACTGGTCCAAAAGTAATGACGCAATGTGACCAGTCAATGTGGCCCAAGTTCGAGTCCTGCCAGGTTCGGTGTCATATGTGAGTAGGGTTGTTGGTTGGTTCTCTCCTGTGCTTYGAGGGTTTTTCTCTAGGTTCACTGGTTTGCCTCCCTCCTCAAGAATCAATTTCTAAATTCTAATTCGATCTTTGGGCTTTCACCAAGTTTGGAGCCTAGCTCTGCTGCGATTATCCCATGCTGTGATACAGCAGCAAAAGCTTTGTAGACTGGATGTTATTTTCAGCCCTCAGTGATTGTCGTTTGCATGCAAGTATAAAAGGATTTCTGTGAGCTCTTTACTTTTCCCCCTTCACAACATACCATACTGACAAACAAGTACGTACCTTAGCCATGGCTGTGGCTCCTTTTTCTGTGAATATGTTATCATTGAGATTAAGAATCTAAAGAGCAAATGTAAAAAATATATCAATAGTACTGTCTTCCTTCCATTATTCCACCTAATGTTGGTTTAATATTTATTGTTTATTTTATTATTATATTATGCATTTACACATTGGAATATATACCGGTAATTAAATATGCGTCAAAGATGAACACATGAAATGCATATTGTACAGTTATAGGACTTATCCATGCCCCCCTCAGAGGAATTTGGAATTTCTAAGGGGTGGTCAGAGAAATAACAAAATTACAGAGTTTGTATGGAAGAAAATTGGAATTCCTGTGGGTAGGGGGTCTGTGAAAAATTCCTCTGTGGGGGAGGGGTATGGACAATATCTGGAACTATATATTCTTTGAAAAAATAAAAATTCATATACCAGTTCCTACATTTTCAGCCTCCCCCCCTCTTACCACTCCACTTCCCCCTGCACTACTGCACAATGCAATTCTAATTACAGTATAATTCTTATTAATTTACTCGTTTTGTTGAAACTACCCATAGACTTAGTAAAGCTGCTGTAGACTTACTTTTAAGTTAACGTTTGAAGCCATTGCATCGGCTAGTGCTGCTATTCCTTCATGCTGTATACCATTTTGTGGCATCTGCACTTCCACAAGGGTGCCAATAACCTAATAATAATGTCATAATTATACATCTTAATTATCATAATTACACAGTCCTGTCTGAGTAAATGATGTGGTTTAATCAAACATAATGCAAGAAAGCATTGCGTTGACCATTCAGTAGAATTTAAATGACAATAAAATAGCTTCACACATAGTGCTGCCATGGTACAGCCATGTGAAAACATCCTTTGAATTAATCAGTGCAAGGATGAAACCATTGCTTATTCAGTGAATATGCTTGAAAATAAAACCATCATGATCAGGAATGGATCCAGGCAAAAAAGTGACCATTTTCTTATTTTACTATTTTCCAAACCTACACTTGTCGTACCTTTAAACAATATTTTACGTAATATTTCAAACATGCGAGAAAGTTCTTCCTTTGAAACGAGGTGCAGCCGAGTTTTTTTAACTGACTTTGAGGTGTTTGGAAAACAAAGGAAGAACTCTCTCAAGTGTTTCAAATTACTTCTCAAACTCATGCATATTTCTTGGAGGAAATCAAAGAAAACGTTTACAAAATTTAATGCAAATTAAGAAAACATTTCCAAACCATCGTCACAGTAGTGATTTGCTTTGTTTTCTCCTCATTAAATATTCATGAGTTTTAGAATATTAAGTAAAATATTAAGAGTTATACTAATAGCTACTTTAGAAATTTTGACAGTTCTCCTGAAAATGGTGTTAACTGGTCAAGATCAGTGCCTGGTTATCATAGCACATTATGCCTGTATAACAGGTTTCAAGTCATGACGTGTGCTGTGATGTTGAGACATTGTTTACCTTGTGACATACTGACAAAATCAACTGAACATATACCAACCACAGGCTTATTTATATTTACCTTAAATGCTTCAGATAATGCTTTTGCTCCAGGGTTTTCCAGACGATTTCTTCCTGATATGAAGACCTCAAGTGCAAGGGGTTTACCAGCATCTGAACTTGACTGATGACAATCTAATAGAGCTTTTGATAATAGCTGAAATAAAAGGTCAAATTTAAATTTATGCATTGTTCAGAAACTAAAAGAATGTATTATTAGATTAATATTCTATTTATTATCTTCCAATAACAGTATGGTTTGGGAATTTTGTACTCACGAAAATCTATTAAAACAATTTAAAATCTTACTTTTCCTCCGCCAACACCAAGACCATTGTTGTTAAATCTCAAAGCCTTGAGTGAATAGCAAGCTGTACTTGTAAGTAGCTTGACGCAGGCCTTCACACCATCTGGACCAAAGGCATTGTCACTTAAATCTAGTTCAACAAGTCTTGCATTTGATGTAATGACAGCATCACTTAAGGCTTCCTATATACAAAAAACTATTTTTTATTGAATTCTGATACAAAAATAAAAAGAAGAAAATGTGAACTTTTTTACACTCTTAGGTAATAAAATATAATCTATTAAAATTCTGATAATCTATTAAAATTCTGATGCAAAAAGGTAAATAAAATAAATAATAATGAGTATAGTAAAAGTTTAGAATATTTTAAAAATCATTTAGGGGAAGCTGAATGTAAATCGATAAACTTACCATAGCTGGTGGAATTTCAGATCTCACTCTACCAGTAAACATATCGCTCCATAAAGCTCTCTACAAGACAGTAACACATTAGGTTAGCACAGTGAAAATGGAAATAAGGCTGAAAAGTTTGGCTGAATAAAGACCCCACATCGGTCTCCCATTATACTAGGTCTATTACCTCAAATTCTGGTCTCTTTGARAGCACCTCAGCAATAGCTTTTGCCGCGTCAACACCAACTGTGTTCCCCTCCAGACACAGGGCTTGCATATCTTTACTATCTTTAATTGCATTACAGATCTCCTCAGCTGTTTGAATGTAAAAAAAGTTCTTGTCACTTTGGCACATTGTGATATGTGGTGACCAAATTGAATACCTATTGTTCTGGACTGACCTATTGTTCTGAGCCGATAGCCTAGAGCCTCTCATACATTAGAAAATTCTTTTATGTTTCCATGTGAATATGAAGCTAGTCAGTCATTAGTCAGTCCAAAACTAACCATAGTTATTCAAATTTGTCGCCATAATTGTATAATGTTGTATAATATACAGAAATTATTTTAATGTTGACTGTAAGCCTTCAGGGTTTAAAAAACGGCCTCAGTCGCCAGTCTTGATAACTGGTCAAATTAGTTTTAGCAACCATACCTCATTTCTGGCTGAAAGTTAGTGGTTAAAATTATCGCCAAGACAAAAATTTGACTGTAGTTCAAATTCTAGCCAGACATTGCCCAATGAGGTGCCATTATCTTAAGCCCTGTTTATCTCCTTGGCTAGCATTGGGGAATGGAGTGACTGATAGCTCATTGACATATATTTTGCTTAGCTGCCTAAAACAATCATCTAGTATTTGACCAATCACATCCCTTTGTCACTTTCTAAATGTCAAACATGTGCAAAAGAGGATCCAAAAACACTCCATAACACTTCATCTACACCAGTAGATGTCATCAATGCTCCATCAACAGATAAAAGCTTTGTCTACAAGCACTACTGTAATATGAACATTTGGAACATTTAGTTTTTAAGTTTTAAAACAAAAAGGTGCCCAAGACAAATCGTGAAAGAGAAATACCATTTTTGGGAAGATCGTATAGATCTCTCTCTAAAGAGTATTTCTACGGGTAAAATAAGCTAAGATAAAAACTTCTAAGTAAAATTTCTAAGCAAAAAAAGTTGACTGGGTTTCCATTTTAGCTAATGCTTTTAAACCTTTAGATTAGCTATAGGAATTCGCTAGATTAGAGAAAAAACTAACAAGAATCGTTTCAGAAGATCTTCTTTCTACAAAGTATATTCTATAGCTATGAAAGCGGGAGATCTTACCATCAGCAGCCGTATTGAGCTTGAGACTTTTTCCTTTGAAGCTGATTAGGTTAACTTGAGCAACCTTGGTCTTCGCTAACAAGCTTGTCACATCACTAACATCGTCATTTTCCAGAGTCATTTTGAACTCTTAAAAACAAAATAAGGATAAATAGTTTAAGTATTAGCTCTGGTAGCCTATTTCGTTCTCATAATGGCTGGAATAAAGCGATAAAGTAGTGATTTATTGGTTCTTACCTTGAACCATGTGCCGAAAAACTTATCACAACTGCCGCCGAATTTCGTAAAATGACCTGTGGAAGAGAAGGACTGGGAACTAGGAAGACATACCGCTGRACTGCGACGGGCTCGAGAGGTGCCAAAAGCCTCGCCACAGGAAACCCTTTCAAAGGAAGGACAACTCTCTATCACTCTCAATCACTCTTAGCCCTGTCATTCTCACTGCGCACGCACGACTCTGATTTCGATCTCGTTCGTTCTCTTGATCAGCACCGAGGAACGTTTGTTTAAGTGAGCAAACAGCGTAAAGCGGCCATCAGAGCGCAGAAAAAAAGAAGGCACTGCGATTCTAAAAATAGCATTAAAAAAAAAAAAATCTTTAAAAATAGCATTAAACGGGGTGCCTATGATGGTTACAAACATGAATACCAGATATTCCTTCTCTTAGTTCATTTTCTCTTATGATAGACCATTGAGTTTAGACTAAACATATGTTTGTTATATCATTGTTGGCCTGCGTAGCGGCACTGCGGCGAAGGGGCTTGAGAGAGGGGGTAGAGGGGGGAGGGGAAAAAAAACAACTTTCGTTATCGTCGTAGAAAATAGAGGACGTTGGAGCGTATGTCCCGTAATCCCTGTATTAAGCCTTCTCGAATAAGCTCCTCCTTCTCTCTGATAAGCCCCCCCCTTTATTAAGTACCCTCGAGGGACCCTCGAGCTCYCTTCATTTACTATGACCCCCTTCTCTCTCCTTCCCGACTAAAGAAAGATAAAATTGTATGTGCACTGATAAAAATAATATAATTTAGGCTTAATCCCGAGTTTACTACAGGTAACTAAAATTTTGTACTAATTTAGAYTTTTTTTCATAAAAATAATTAATCAATCAGCTTTACTAGTGCATGACCTAGGCTTGGAGGCTACACTAATAACTATAAAGGTTCTTTTTCGTCTTTCTATTTTCTACGTTGAGTCGTTTTGCTTTACTGACTTGCTTTTGTCGTTACATCAAGAACAACCAAAACTGAAACTGGAGCCACGTTGCGCTTTCGAGGCCCGAAAATGTGTTTTGGAATGTACTTGGGATAACATAACAGACGCTACGAAGGCGATTAAAAAATCACAGCTACCTCGGTCTACTGGGAAGAGTAGTAGCCTATTCGCCAGATTAAAACGACCAAATCGTTAACCCTATTCCAGACTAAAATGATATCCTATCCCAGASAAAATGTCAAAAAATGAAACCCTACCCCAGATCCAAAAGCCGAAAAAATATACCCTATACGGCGGCACATACCCGTACAACAAGTATATGGGAGTACCCCCCGGGTTTCGAGGTTAAATGTTTTGGTATCGTTTTACCTCGTCACAACTATGAACGGGATCGATAGCCGAACCAGAAAATAATTTCCGATCATGAGGTGATGGAATGGTCATGTAATTCCTGCCATACCAGAAAACAAGCAGCTTTTTCCATTGGTTTGGAACTGGCATTTGAAAGCCTTCAAACTCCAGATTCCCTAGTGGGAAAAGATCCTCTTTCTTCAGTCTTAAAGGGCCGCGTATGAAGCGTTGCATAAGACTCTGAGACGAGAACAAATCTATAAAATCCCCACTTTCATCTTGTTGAAGCACAGAAATATCAACTTGCAAGCCGTTTTGAAGGCATTTGTCCCCACACACGGCAAGATAATTTGGGTAACAACTATTCTTATCCCTTAGCTTAGCTAGCATGAAAGATAAACGGGGCTTTTTGTAGAACGGGTCTGTTGTCTCAGTCTGGTAAAACACGTCTGACGGTAACTCTCCTTGGATAACTTTAGAAAGTTTGTCGAAATCTTGCTGGGTCATAGCAATGTCGATATCATCGTCGAATGGATTGACACCTTTATGTCTTGCAGCTCCTAGTATACTACCTTTGTAGATAAAGTACTTTATCCCGTGTTTGTGGCTTATTAAATGAAGCACTCGTAGCATTCGTGTTRGGACTAATTGACTTTTACGAATAGTCGTATTTCCTTGGAGACGAATGTCGGGGCAGTTGTCTAAAGAATTGCATGGGTCGAGTTTAGCGTACGGAATTGGGTTGAGTTCAAACTGTTCTTCTTGTAGAGAAATCTTGTGAGGACTGTATTCAAACCAGGAAAATATTAGTGCAACTAAAAAGCAGCTGCGCCAGTAAACACGACGAACGACGTAAACGAATGAACAAGCTTTAATAATGAAACGTAGTCGCAAGATGGCCGACCAATAACAACAGTAATGAACAGGCGTCACTGGCGCGGGCGCGCGCGCATGACAGGCACAAATGTCCGCGGGCACAACGGGCTCGCTGGCGCTGAGAACGACAAATGAAAAAACCCTCTTCCTGTTGATACGGAATACACTAGCCATTTCGCTGCGGCAAGGCTTGTCATTTAAGAGCCCGTCAATAGCATCAAAAGTCGACACATAGTTACTCGGGCTACCTGTAAGGTAGGCCGAGTTTAGGTTTCGGTTTTGTATCAGTCTATCGTATGGTCGAGGTTTTACATGATGAATATGCATGCGATCGAGACAGTAGGGACTTTAAGATTTGCAAAATCTGCGACGGCGACGTCTACCGGAAGTGTGAATAACTTCACTTTGGGGTTTCGCGTCCTCAAAGTCTATCTTCCCTGTGGATGAGTTGACTTTACTGACAATGTTTTGAATAAAATTTCCAATGAACAGAACCCCTAAAGAAATTATTTACACTTCCGGTTGACGTCGCCGTCGTAGATTTTGCGAATCTTAAATTCTCTAGTCATGAAAGCGAGGCGACGCACGAGTGCAAGTCATGTGACCTACATGTTGGGTCGGAGGTTTTCTTGCTCTCTGCTCCTCGCCGGTGGTTTGTTATGGCGAATTCCTTTTCTTCTGGGACACTCAAAATACACACAAACGCACMCGCCGTTCGCGGTAGACCCACACTAAAAGATGTCGAGCGTTTTCGGAACGGGTCGGTCCGCGAACTCAAAGCAAAATGCCAAAAGAATGCCAAAGATACCAGAAAGATTACCAGAAATGTGAACTCAAATGAAACTCAAATGAACTCAAATG